CAACATGTTGCAAAATAGCAGGAGTGCTGAATAACTTAGCTGGAGGCCAATTTCCATTTTTGAGAAGTTCTCAGAGGCTTCATTGCAGATGCAAAAAACAGCAGGGCCAAAATACCAAAAATACCAGCATGATCTAGTTTAAAGCTCTGGTTGCCCTAACTAGATAAAATATTTCATTCTTTTAGATGGTTGGAAAAAGCACACAAAAGCTGGGAAAACATCAAACTACCAGTATTCAGGAGAAAGTAGATGGGGACTAAAAGAAAAGGGCATGTTTGCCTAGGGAGCACCAAAAAGCTAAGTTGGTACCCCAGAATGACCAGATGATGTGGAAGCCTAAGATTCTGAGATCCAAAATGATGGCCAATTCTCTGTTGCTTGGTCATCTTGGTTTAGCATCCTGGTGCTAAACCAGGATGACCTATTCCAGATTGCAAGTAGAAGCTGGATAAAGCTTAAACTCAGGCCTTTCAGAGTTTAACCCTAACTATCCCTTTAATAAGAAGTTTTCATTTTCCATATTCTGTTTGAACAACTACTAAATTTATTTATTGTATACTCCACCATATTTCCTGCAGAGAGACCAGGGCACCTTCGATAATTGTCCTCTTCCTTTCCATTTTATCTTCAAAGCAACTCTGTGAAGTAGGCTTGGCTGAGAGTCAGTGACTGGCCCAAAGTTACTAAGTTTCATGGCTGAGTGGGAACTGGAACTTGGATCTCCTGAATCCCAGTCCAACAATAACCGTTATATGACACTGGGTCTCCTGATCAACTGAACAGGAAGCAACAGTTGCTTCCTGTTCAATAGCTGTGACTAGGGCAATTCTGAATCACCCTTAATTAGTCATTTTTTCTTGCATTAGAAGTAGATAAAGCTCTATGTCTCCCTTGAAGCCACAGCAGCTATGTACTCATTTTCAACCATATATTTCAGAATTGCCAATGCAAAATAATAATAATAATGAGCAGTTTCTCTGGGTACAAAAAGGAAACCTATACTTAAAAGCCTCCTCTCCTTGCACAGAGCTAATTAAGGGCTATTTTTAAAAAATGTTACAGCCAATGATTGAAAAGGAAGCAACTAATTAGCCATGTTAGAAGAAAGAGAGCAAAGAGAAAGCTACAAATTAAAAACAGTTGCACAGAAAAACAAGAGCATTGCTCAATGGAACCTTGCCTCTGGGATATATGCCAGAGCTGCAGAGAGAAAATAGCACTACTATTAAGTGGTTTGTGGAACCACCGTTTCTTATCCCATTTTTATCTGAGTGCAGCCTCAACAATGCAAAAGGAGCCTAACATGGGTGCAACTTTCAAAAGAAATCTGGGATATCCCATATTCTCAGAACAAGAAGATAATTCATTTGACATGTGAATATTGTGCTGGATGCCCATCTTGACAAGGATTACCATTTCAAACAAGCTGCATCATTCACTCAGGGTTTCAGTTCCATCTAAAGCAGCCATTGCTACTGACTTCAGTGAGAACTAAGCTTTGGATGGATCAAATCCAAAGTCAGAAAGAGAGCTGCCCATAAAGGAATCTAAAACATTTCAAAACTTATTCCTGCATGACTCCTGAATAATACAAATGGTAATATTGCATTCCTACGGCCCCTGGATCCCCCTGCCAGCTCCTGCAGAAATCTATGTGGCATTTACCTCTCTAACATCAAAGTAGGGAAAAGGAGGTGTGTTGGGGGGAAGGTCCACTGTTCCCCAGACATGCTTCCAGTCCGTCTTGGAATTTATGCCAGCCTTGAAGCAGGCAGAGATTAAATACCTCCTACTGGTTCCAGTGGAATTTAAATGCCAGGGAGGACAACATGAGCAAGAACTAACATTCTTCTCCCACTTCGGATATCTTGGAGACTGTGATACAGGAGTGTTCAGAGGAATAAGTTAGGATTGTTTTACTTGACCATTCTAGATATTAACTTTCCATTTTTAAGAAAACAGGAAACTGTTGCAATAGCGTCGGTTGCACAACCTTTTCTTCCCAAAACACAGCAGACTCAGTTTGCACATCATGATCTGAGGAACTGGAAGGGACATGCAGGAGCCTGTGAATGCACTGCCTACTGCCTGGTCACTACTTTTGTTTTCAGTTAACTCAAGAATGCTCCATTCCAGGGTTGTTTCACAGAATCATAGTAGAGTTGGAAGGGGCCATGAAGGCCATCAGGTCCACCCCCCTGCTGTTGCAGGACACCAAATTACACCATCCCACTCAGATGGCTGTCCTGTTTCTTTCTGAATGTCTCTAGTGTGGGAGATCCCACCATCTCTCTAGGCAGCTGGTTCCACTGTTGTATTGCTGACAGTAAGGATGCTATTCCTGATGTGCAGAGTGAATTTGGGTTGTTGCAGCTTGATTTGATTATTCTGTGTCCTGCACTCTGGTACCAGCAAGCAGAGATTTTGACCTTCCTCTTTGCGACAGCCTTTGAGGTACTTAAAGAGTGATACCACCTCCCCCCTCAGTCTTCTCTTCTCAAGGCTGAACATGCCCAGTTCTCCCAGTTTCTCCTTATAGGGCAGTGTTTCCAAACCCTGGATCATTTTTGTTGCCTTCCTCTGGACCCTAATTTTTCTGCATCTTAAATCTTGGTGCCCAGAACTGAACACAGTACTCCATATAAGGTTTGACTAGTGAGGAGTATAGGGGAACTACTACTTCTCGTGGTTTGGAAGTAATACTTCTAGTAATGCATCCCAAAATAGGATTTGCCCTTTTGGCAGCTGCATTGCACTGTTGGCTCACTTTTAGCCTATTGTCTACAATTAGTCTGAGATTGTTTTTTCCTTTTCAGTTCTGAAAAAGACACCCAAATCAAGAAAATCTAGGCTGTTTAAGTTTTAAACAACCCAAAATTAACCCCAAAACAAATCTGGGTTTCTGAGTTTCTGGGTTCACATGTCACAAAACCCAGGAATGGGGTGTCCCTTGGTTATTAACTGAAAGTGAAAGGGAACCAGCATGCTTCCTCCTGCATCTTTACAAACAAGCCACAGGTAACAAATCATGGATTGTTGATTATGTAAATCAGGTCACTTTCTCTATTTCTTTTAATCAATTCCAAGTTTATATGTGCTTGTTTCCCTGAAAAGGTGACTGTTACCTCTATTAAGTATTTCTAATTTGAAAGCTATTTCACTTTCATGAAATCACATGTCTGAGAATTAATCACTCAGATACTCGTATTATTCCATTTTGTGTATTACACAGTTGACCTTAACTTAGATTTTTGTTTGTATAAACTGCTTATATTACTATCCTTCTTATTAGTGTAAGAATATGATTAATCACATGGTCTATGAAAGCAAGAGAACTCAAATCATGTGTGTCCCGAAGGCAGGAAATGTCATCAGGTTATATATTGCCATAAATATTTGTAGTACTCAGCAGTTTCCAACTGTGCCTGTTGCAATGTGACCTACAATATTAAGTGCCTGGGTGTATACTGCTGAGGAGAAACATGAACATATCAATGACACACCACTGAATTTATCTTTATTATTAAAGATAAATACTGCAGATCAGTATTTGGTCTAGTATCAGTTTCTCTATTTAATATATGCAGCTACTTGTTTACCCTACACCAAGGTATTTTGTTTTCTACGGAGAGACTGCTTTACATTTGACAACCCCACAAGCTCAGTGCATATATAACAGGTGAGGCAAGTCAGACATTGATGGCAAATAGGCCATAAAAGATCACTGTTCACAATGGTGGGAGAAAAACATATGGCAACTCAGCAATCCTCCCCACTACTACTTTTCCAAGCTCAACAACAAATAGGGATTGTCGAGATTCCATGCCTGTCTCATGCCTAGACTGGCGCTTTTATTTCTCCCATGAGCCTGGAAACAAAGAAGAGCCAGGACAGTTGGCTACAGCAGCCTCTTCCTCTCCACTGCCACCCACCCTTGGTAAGCTCACAGGGATAGGAAGGGTTTACCACCTGCAAAGTGGCACTTGGGTGGTAGTAGAGGGCATCCCAACCTGGCGCCTACACCCTGATTGCTGGTGTTATCACGAAGCCACCTTCCCCAACCTACTGCCTTCCAAATGCTTTGGTCCAGAGCTCACATTACCCAAGTACTGATGATGCTTCATGGGGCTGTTAGAAGTTGTAGTCCAAAAGCTTCCAGAGGGCAGCAGGTTGGGGGAGTGTGTGGAGGAGGCTGGAAAAGCAGCTATGGAAAAGTGTTCTCTGTAGTTTGTACCGCTGTCATTTTCTTAGTTTTGCTGCTCTGAGTACATTGTCTTCTCACTAAGTCAAAGCAGGTTACCAATGTAGCAGAACCTTAACTGCCTGGTTAGTCCCTCTGGATTAACAAATATTAATCACAGTACTTCAGCTTAACAGGTTTATGGATTCAGCTATAACTTGCTTTTGCAAAATTCTGCCTAAGAATTAAATAGTCACTGTTATTTTTCAAAGTGCCTGTGTGCTTAAGAAATTGCTGGTGCTACAGAAAAAGTGAGATTTGTTCTGCATTTAGAAGCCAAAGAAAGGCAACCTAGAGTAACACCACTTATTTAAATTCAGCCTCTGAGAGTTGACTATTATTGGCTGAACACTGACCCATGGCTTTTGCAGGGGACCACTCCCACAATCAGATCTGCATTGCAGTCATGGAAGGAATATGATTTATTCTCCCTACCCTGTTCATCACTGGAACTTTGAAGAGGCAGAAAGGACATATTTACATCTCCCTAGTTTTGATCTTCAGAGCAAATATTTTAAAATTAAATGTGATCAAAGAATACAATACTGTCTTATTAAAGTCCTCTCATTAATAACCATATTCACATTGCAGATTTATATAAGGCAGAAAGGGACTTAGGCAGAACAAAGTTATTGCAACCTGGGTTTGTTTTACTTTAATACAGCCTGAACATTCCTCAGCCCCCACCATTCCAGCCCTCCCCCACCCCCAAACATATGCATACATTTTATGGTTCATTCCAGTAAATACATTAGACAGGTGGAACTGAATATTATATTATAGCAGCAAAGTAAACGTTGAAATAAACACATCGTCCTGTATTATACCAACATTGTTGTTACATGGGTAGATATAAAGCTAACATATTTAGAATGCGATTATAACCATCTCTTCTCTGCTTGCCTCCACTTAATTTCATCTGAAAAGAAAAATACATTCTTATGAAAACAGAGAAGAAATCCGCTGTTCTATATTTAGTAACAGGGTGTATTATTGAAGATGCATGACATTTTCAGCAACCACATCTGTCTTATGGACATGAACTGCAACATACCTTTGAGTGCAGCAGTGGCTATTTTGCAACATAGGATCCAGCTGCTAGCATATGCAATGAAGAAACCTATTACACAAAGACAGAAACATTTTTAATGTGAATTTCACCAAAACAAACAAACCCATATAAAACACAATTTTCTACTGAAAACAAAATACATCTCTTACAATAGCTGTGCATGAAATATTGTATATGTCCAGTAATATATGCAGGTATATGATTACACAGCTATTAGTAAAAATAGTTACATATAAACTTCAGAAAAGACAGACCAAATATCCACATATTTATCTCTCTGCAGGTGGCATCTAAATACCATCTGTTCATATGCTGAAAGCATTGCTATATCTTAAATGCACTATATTATAGCAGGCTGAGGTACATCTTTCCAGTGTTATCAGTCTTTTACTGCCAAAATGCATGGAAAATCTACTTGTGTTGTTGCCCTTGGGGTAAGTTCCCTGCATCAGGTAAATTATTTAAAAGAACATGTGCATCACTAAATATTAAAGATCATTCTAAGTTTATTAGTTTATTTATTTTTATATTTATAACCCACTTTTCTCCTACTGTGGAATTCAAGATGGCAACCCATGATGGTCTCCCCTCCAAGCTCAGGCCAGACCCAGACTGGCTTTGCTTCAACCTAGTGATGCCCTTATGTGCCTTTAGACCATGATCTGTATTATGTACTGTGGTCATCTGTTCTATAAACACCATTCCAAAAAATGTCACCACTGAGCATTACCATAACATGTGGGTTAGTGAAGCATGATTGATATAACACCTCCAAGAGCTTGCCAACTTAGACAAACCTTTATTAATGGTTTCTTTCCAACAGACAGGAAATAAAGCTTCCACTTGAAGATCCATAGTACCCTCTGATGGAGATGCAAAAAAAAAGTTCTAATAATAAGGCAAAATACAAGAATCCAGCTCCCTGTTTTATTTGCATTTAAGACATAGTGTATCATACCCGTTCACAAATATAACTGACCAGGCTCAATCAATACTTCCAATATCAAAGGGGAATCACAGGCGTAAAAAGAGGTAGAACCAAACCTAGATTCTAACAAATGTTACAACTATATAAAGATTGCCATTCAGCTGAAGCAGGCAAATTGTATTTGGCACACAGAGTCAAAGCTAACAGAAACACATCATCTGTACCCTCTAATTGGTTCAAAGCAAAAATTAACATGCCCGTCCAAATCTACCACATGAACCTTATTTTTTATCATTTTAAAAACCTGGATCCCCCCCATAAAGTCAATTAAGCATGAGAAAATAAGTAAACCCATAAATTACAAGATGTCAATCGTCTCTGCCTGCTTGATTATAGGAAGGCGCCCTATTATTTCAGTGTGTCAAAAAGCTGGAGACAGGATACAGTCATCAGGATTCCAAAACTGACTGAGGGCAATCTAATCTAAGTGGGAAAGAGCACATTTTTGAACTAGTTAGCAAACAGACAGGCAGTGTTGCCTAGGGGTGAGAGTGTTGGACTAGGACTTGGGAAATACAGGTTTTAGTCCCAGTAAAACTCACTGGCTGACTCTGGGCCAGTCATGGACTCTTTCTCTCTAATCTACATCTCAGCATTGTTGTTGTGAAGATAAACTAGAGAAGAGCAGAATCTTGTAAGCCACATTATGTTAATCAAAAATGAAAGATGAAGTATAAATGAAAAGCAACAATAGAAAATAAGTCCTATGATATAAGGCAAGACCTGGGAAGCTAAACCCACCTTCTTAAATTGATAGCTACATCTTTTTCAAAGCAATTTGTGGTGCACAGGAACCCCCAGAATTTTGCAAACCAAAGCATTACACTTTTGAAAATAGTTACCAGGTATAAAGATGAAATTGCACATAAAGCAATAACAATCACAGGTATAATATTCATCTTGTGCAATAATCTTGCCCCCACAGCTTCAGCTTAAGAGATACCCACCTGCCTAAATCCTGTAAGATCTCATTAATCAATGTACTCCAATTTAGTGTGATCATTTTAGACATATCTCTGGGAATAAGTATTCCTATACAGGTACCAAACTCTGAGCACCATTAGAACTGTCAATGAACTAATGCATTGTGAGCTATAGTATCCCCAAACAGCAGACAAATCTCCAAGAGTATTAATCACCTGCATCAAGGCTAGAACCCATGACCAGAGTTTTGAGATAAACAATCAAAGAATGTCAGCTTAAAGAATAAATCTGAACTCTAAACAATCTTATATGAATCTAATAGCACATACCAATAAATATCAATGAAGAAAGTAGACATCCCTGTCTAATACCTCTCCCAAGTATAAAATAATCCAAGAAAAAAAATGTTGACCCATTTAAAATTTTTGCAGAAAAGCCAAAGATTCTTTAAATTTTAAAACTAGTTTTTCATCTAAATCACAACAAAAAATAACAATAAAACACATAAAATTAAACATATATTTAAAATTATACAAGGCCCGCCCCTGCCTCGCCACATGCACATGCCTGACCCCCCCACCCCCCGGCCTGGCCCGCATCCCTGCCTGCACCGCCTTGGCAGCCGGCACCAAATTCGGGGTTTTTCACAATTTGCAGGTGCTCTAGGAACACAACCACCATGAATTTTGGGGGACTACTGTACCAATCTCACAAGTGATAATCATATTTTACTTTCCAGCTCTTAGTTATGATTAATCACACAGCAGTTTATTAAATTTGTTATTAATTCCTTATTGTTTAATTTATTGTTGTAAGCCGCCCCGAGGCTTCGGCGAATGGGGCGGCATAAAAATGTTTTAATAAATAAATAAATTATCCCAATTCCATTATTTCCTATCAAATATTGAAAGTAATGCAATCTCAGCGCATGCTTCAGTATTTAAAATTAGTATTTTACTACTCTCTTTAAAAACCTTTCCATAACTTCCTTGTACCCACTTTGCAACCACATTTCCAACCTAAGTTGGAATCAATTCAGCTCCACTGGCATTAGGTACTATTGTCATGCAATTTCACATTTTTTTCCGTTATTCCTACTGACCTACATTTTAATATTCTCTTCATCCAAATATTTTCCCCAATCTTCATTACTAATGTTCTTTCTCAGATATGTGCCCCATGTTGCTTTAAGTGAATTGCATGGATCCTGCTCTTCCAACCAATAACTTATACATTTTGCTTACTATCCCTTTCATCAACATATTCTTGTTTTTCCTTTTCTATAATCATATCTTCTAATTTTGTATAATCCCGGCATCTACTCTTTTTCTTTATCCATTCTCTAGTCCAACATTCTAATTGAATCACATTATATCAAGGTATTTTCTCCTTTCCTAACAGTGCTTTTATCTCCCCATTTTTATTCATTTTCTTTAGCCAATCTTTTAATCCAATTATATATTCTTTAATAATTTCCCTGAAATCTCTCTCAAATTTAATGGGAACCATTAAATAATTGAATAATTGGACATAATGGTGAGATTGATGGCATCAATTTTTCCTTATACTTATTCCATATTTGCAATATATTTTTAAGGAAAGCATTCTCTACCTTTTTAATAATATATTATCATATTTTTTAAAAAGTCTATCAAGGATCCTTGCAAATATCTAATTTTAGCTGTATTACCTTATTGGGTTGTAATATAACATCCAGTATATGCCCCACGTCAAAGTTTCTCAACACAACAAAGGCAAATTTCCAATCAATTTTGTTCAAGACCCTTTTTTGGGATCCCTCCTCATACACCAAAAAAGGCAGCCTACCCTGTTCTACCAGTACTTAAAGCAATCACAGTACAAGATAACTAATATAATACTGTTAGCTCCTTGTCTTTTTTTAAAATAAACCTCACCTCGCCTGAGTGAACCAATTTTGTAATAACTTGCTGCAATCAAATGGCCAAAATTACTATTAATATTTTATTATTTCCTTAACAGAATAGGTCAAACATTAGCACAATAAATATGATCCTTACCAGGCTTTCGAATCAAAGTGATATAAACGGCATTCAACAATACAGAAAGAAATCCCAATTCAAAAATGTAAGTATAAAGATGATGATGCCTTGGAACCAAAATGCTGGAAATGTTTCATGCCATTCGGTTGGAAGCCCATCCATTCCGGTATTCACATCTGAAATTGCTTAGAATTTCCCCAATATGTAGGGGAGCCAGGAGAAACCACCACTGCACGGAATCTAACCTTAAAATTTGTGCTGGGGGAAAAAAAACGGCATCTTGCTCTGATATTTCTTTACTCATGCTTTCCATACACAAAATTCAGTGTAAAAAATTAACAAATTGAATTTATATCTTTGGGTGAACCGTTTATCAAATTACTTTCATACTTAATGATAGAAATAACACTGAAATGTTTTTGCTGCTTAGGGTGATGTCCCAAAACCTTAATAGGATGCTTATTCATTTATTTATTTAGTCAAAACTTTTATATGCAGTCACCACATGCCTCGGCATCCCGGGACGGCTCACAGCCATAGTTCCCCATTTTCTCAGTATGCCTGCTTTAAGTCGGTTGAGGCAAACACCATCTGCTGTGAAAGGATATTACTTGATTCCTATTTTACATTCTGCAACTCTTGGAAAAGTTGTACAGTTCAAGAAGTGACAAACTGGGTTATATGAAATTCCATCTTCTTGATGAGAGATACAGTATTTTTTAAAATTTTGTTCATATATAAAGCATAACTAATAACTTGGCTCAGTTATTGGCCTCCCACTCAATGGAACATGAATCAGCTGCAGCCTCATTAATTTTAAAATGTTTTATATTTTATCAAATATTCTTTCTTAAATGTATCAACACTGCAAGATGAAACACTGAGAGTGCTGTGGTGATTACAGCGTTGGCCCGCGGACCTGGGTTTTAGGCCCCACTCAGCCATGAAACTCACTGGATGACTCTGGGCCAGCCAGTTACTCTCAACCTACCCTACTTTACAGGTTGTTGTGGCGAAGATAAAATGTGGTGGAGGGCTGTGGAAGCCACCTTAGGGTCTGTACAAAAGAAGAAAGGTGGGATATAAATGTAGTGCAATAAGAAGACTCCAAAATACGCAATTCACCTTTCTAATGATAGCACATTTGAGGTTTTGTTATGTCCAACTTATAAATCAACACATGCAAATAAAAAGGGACTTTAAAAAGTAAGATAATCTACACTGCAATCCTAGATGTATCTCCTTGGAAGAAGGCACTACTGGGTTCAATGAAAGTTACTCCCAGGTGTGTGCAGGACTGTACCCCTTTCCACTAATGCCTAACACCCTTGAAAAGGAATGGGTGTTGGAGCTTAGGCTTGCAGAACGGTAGTCCTTGGCAGTCCAGCACAGAAGCTGATTCTTCCCCTCTGCTGCCCCAGCAAGCCTCAACTCTTGTAAGCTTTAGCATCCCTTCATCCCACGCAATTACAGCAAGCTATTCTGCAGGGGGAAGTGGGCAGGACAATTTCATAATTCTCTTGCTGACTTTTCAAAAATCCCACATGCTTTTCTACTTGCATCTTCCATACAACATCTTAGTTCTCTGGGACTGGGAAAACACAATTAAGCCCTTAATGAAGTTCTTCAAGTCTCAACTGTAACTAGAGAGTTAAAGAAGTCACTTGGCCATGAGGCTACCCTTCCTCTCTAGCACTGACTGAAGACAGATTTTTTTTGAGCATCTGGGCTACTTAATAATCTAACTGAATTGAATCCAAAGTTCCTTGCCTGTTGAAGGCTAGGCTATAAAAAACTGGCACTGCATCTTCAAAAAAGGAACAGGCTGTGCACAGAGTTGATTGCCTAACCAAGGCATCACCAAGAAACCTCCACTCCCATTCCTCAGAAGCAATTTTACACTGTAAAAATGTGTATCTTTTAATAAATAAGCACAGATGGGCTTATTCAGCACATTTTACAATTGTAAGATGACAATACATTCCAAAGATAAGCTACACACTGTAAGTTGTTCATGAAACAACACATAGTGCTCCTGACAGACAACTAAGCTTACTGTGGTTTGCCCCTACTCCTTCTCTAGAGGACTTAGTGACAGAATCTGTCTTGACTCTTCTCTTTGCTCTGATTGCAACCCTTTAGGCAGTTGCAACAGTCCCCCCTCTCCGCTTTTTCTCAGATCACCTTTCACAATCTTTGATGTGAAAGCCCCTCCAAAGTGCCCAAGTAACAAACTGGAGTAGCCATCACTGGTTCATCACACATTTAAAAAAAAAGAAAGAAATCCCCAGAAAGGAGGAAGATGTCAATAGTTCTGCAGTGCACAAAGTGTGAAGCCTTGCCTGGTCAGCCTCCTGAAGCATCTGCATTCAAAGTAGGGGCTATCTATGGGCATTGACAAAGCCAGGCTTTAAATGCATTACTTTGTTTTAATTTGACAGCTATCAAATGACTAGCTGTCAAGTGGAAAGCAAAGACAAGATTTTTGCTTGTGAAAAGGGCTGGTAACATGAACTTCTTTTAAGGCTGGATTAGACAGTTCTGCATCCTCCATTTTTTCCATTCTTTCCCAAGCCTCCAAGGGGCTCAGGAAAGTAGAATGAAGCCCATACCATTCATGGGAGCACTTACTTTTGACAGCTGTCATAAGTGTTTCTTTAAAAACAGGGATTTTTTAAGAAGGAAATTATACAGATTGCATGGCACTGTAGAGATGCTGTCACTGACTGTTACTGTCTCTCTGGATCTTGCAAAACCCCATCTTTGGGGGGGGGAGGGGAAGCCACAGCAACTGCAAAAGCAGCAAATTGCAATGGCTGAGCTAACATTTGATTTGCTGATGTGCATTGGCTGCCATTTCAATTACAAACTGAGGCTTGCAGAGATGCTGATGAAATAGCTGGGAATGTTAATTTATATTATTAGTTTTCTTCTCCCTTGAGTTTAGTGATGCACGCTTCCAAGTGAAATAACATCCTTCATGTGACATGAGCTTTTGTGGGCAGTATACTCTATACCAACTGTAGTATGAAGGAACTTGGTCTGTAAACATACACATAGGTTGAGGTACAGCAGCTATATTCCCTTTACCTTTAACATTTTCAGTTTGATTTTAGCACATACCTTCTACTTCAGAGCCTTTTCATGCGTAAAATTTTCATCAGGCTCTTAAATTATAATCCCGTGCCCAGCTATGCAGGAATACACCTCAGTGAGTTAACTTATTTTTAGGTAAACCAGGAGTCATTTATTCATAAGACTGCCCTAAGTTGGGGATGACTTGAAAGCACTAACAAAAAATGGGAATGGGCAACCTTTTTTTCAGCCAAAGACCATATTCCTTCCTGAGTGATCTGTCAGGCTGGTGGGCACATGGGTAGGTCACCTCTTTTCTCTGTCTGCCACCGCCTTTCACCCACCCAGCAGACTACCAGGGCAGTCTATTGTTGACAGAGGTCTGAACTGATCACAAGCAGAAGGTTTTTGAAATTACTCTAGACAACAGATTAAATTGTTAAATTTAGCTTGCTCCTATGGTAAACACAGGCCATGTCTGTATGAAACACATTTGCGCCTTTTGGAGAATATGTGACTATACATCTGTATCAATGGAGGTCTGACATTCATATTAAGAATCAGTTCTTCATGAAGTACGTCAGTTTACATTTGCTACAGGTGTCTCACCTGATGCTTTGGAAAAATTGTTCACAACTATTGATCAAGTGTGGCAATTAGTAATTCAAGATTTTTTAAAAAATAACCTGAAGCAATGTTTATGGCAACCTTCACAGATCTGAGCCCTTCCGGATGCTGGATGGCAATTCCCATCAGTCCCAACTATCATGGCAAATCATGGATAATGGAAGTTATAGTAAAAAACATCTGGAGGCACCCAGGTTGGATAAAGCCTAGCGTTCGCTGATTAAACATGGTTGTCTACTATTTTATACTCACAATTATAAACAAACTTCCAAATTCTATCACCAAATAAACTGACATGTGAAGGAGAGCTTGTGATTTATTTCTGGGGGGCATTTTCAGCGAAAGAACGGATCAAAATCCGTCCAATATTAGTTCAATAATTGATCATCATGAACAAGTGGGAGCACAGGCCGAGCAGTACAGGTCCCGACATCCGGCAGGAGACGGGACGGTTGCAAGGCACGACCCCACCCCCGGTCCGGCTACCTCCTCGACGAGGGAGCGCGAGGGCCCGGCTGCCCGCTAGCGCCAAGGGGACTGTCCGGGGTGAGGAGGGGCCCGAACGGGCGGCCTCGCAACCTTCCCCAACCTGGTGCCCCCCGCGCCTGGCGTTGCTTCGATTTACGTATCCTAACACCCCCCAAGCCAGCCATCTTGTGAGTTGCAGTCCTAGACAACTCCAACAGCGGAGAGCACCAGATTAAAGACGAACCGCCATCAAGGCGCGAGGGAGAACGCGAGGCCGCCGCCCTGCTCACTCTCCCCGCGGGGGAGAAGACTGTGACGCAGCAGCACCGCACGCACCGCGAGGGCGTCAGCCGGGGCTCGCGCCGGGTCTGAGCGTACCCCTCCCCCATCCGCCCGCACCCTCCGCCTCTGCTCGCGCTCTTGTCTTCCTCATTTTGGCAGCTTCCTACGGGGACTTATGTTGTCTAGTTAGGGGAAGGATCAGCGGGGGAGGGGCGTTAGGAACAGCAAGCTGCCAAAGATCTCCACAAGTTGGAAGGAGGCGGCCCTGTTCGCATTGGATTTCCATGCGGCGGCCCCTTGGCGGCGAAGGCACCCCACGCCCAGAGCGCGCGCGTGCGCTCATCCCACACCACGTCCCGGTTTCAGCGTTCGGAAGCAGTTGATTCGCTACCGCCCGCCTCCATTCGAACCCGCCTTCCTCTCACGTGTCCCGATTTCCTGTGACCTGCCCCGCCCACCCTCTTCCTCTCGGCTCCATATTGAGGCTGAAGGAGGCAAAATCCAGTCACAAAATGGAGGTAACGATTGTCGGCATCGCGCGGGAAGAGGGACAGGCGACGGGCCCAGGAACGCGGGTTGCGGGAGGCGGCGCGGGAGGGAGAGCGATTGGCTGATTTCGTTGCTTGCTTCCAGCATTCCCCCCGGTTCTCGTTTCTTCATTTGCGACCAACTGATTTTCCGAAATGGCGCAACGAGAGTCGCGGCGGTAGAGGGGCGGGAGAGGCCTCTGCTTCTGGACGCCATTGTGACTTGGCGGGGAGAGGCTAGCTGGAGCGAGAGCAGCCGCAGTAGAGCGGGCGGGCTCGTCATGTTGTGTGGCTCTCACTTAAGTTAAATAAATAGCTCCCCAATTAAAGTGTATAAACATGAGAAGTTAGGATATAGCTTATCCTTTTAAAAAATACTCGCATCCTAGCTGCGGGTCGTCCACACAGCACTGGATTCTCCCGCCGGTTCTGTTTAAACTCGGACGAAAGGAAAGATCAAATGTTCACTTTTGCGAGCTCGCCTGTGTAGTGCTGGGTTGCGAAGCCTGAGCCCTATTTAGCTCACTGGGAGCCCGAAATAAGGATCGATTAAGCAGTTGGGTGCTATTTCTATTTAAGAACGTAGGAGCCAGGAGATTAAAAAAATGTATAGTTGATTTTCCACTTGTAACCTTTTTTTCTGCAGTGATCCCCTCTATTTATTGCTGTTTAACCTTTTGAAAATGAAACTGCTAACAGAAAAAGCATCTAGCCCCAACGTAGAAACAGAAGGCTAAAATTAACTATCCTCCATATAAGCAATGCTGTTACAAGTCCTTCGGGTACATGAAGAGACCTTATATTTGCCTGCATGACCCAGTATTTCCTAAGATGAAAACAAATGGACCCTTTCTTGATAGTTCCTAAAACTAGTGTTTGACAATCACTTTTATATTTCTGTTTTGAATTATAAGCTGTTTCTAATTCTGCCTCTTTCTCCCCCAGTATTCTAGTAACTGGTATGGAAGCCAATTAAAAGAAATGTTCTGGTGCATGTGAACAACCAGATCTTCTAATATCTGTTTAATAACTTATAATTAAACTGGTCTATCTTTGGAATGATGCTTAAATGCCTAGAATCTGCATCCTGAAGAACATCATTAGTTGATACTTAGCTCCAATGATAGTGGAACTTGTTTGCAATTGAGGATCTTTATATAGACTGATCTTATGCATACTTAATTAGAATGAAGTCTCTACTTGAGAGTAAGTTCTGTGAGATTGGTGACCTTAAATATTGAACAAAATTCATCACGTAACCTAGAAATCCACAATAATATTGTCTAATGATTTTAGAATTGGATGTGATTACAGATCCAATGTTAGAGACACTTGAACTTTAATGTTAAGTTTAAAATGTAACTTGACTTTCCCCTTCAAAATCTCAACCATTATATCTATTTTATTATACAAAAATACATAACATCAAAGATTTTTCATCTTAACTGCAATAATTATGATTGATTAAAATTTGTGCACTTCTAAATTGAACGATTACATTATACATGTTCCATCATTAAAACCATGTAGCTAACACTGTAAATGCTTATCTGGAAATAAAACTATAGAAGTCTATAGGACTTTCATAGGGTTATGATGTGTTGTAATCTAACCTAGAACATTTTAGTCTGATAAAGCATTCCTAACTGACATATTCTGAACTAACATATTAAGCCTCAGAAACTACTGAAGGTGTAGCTTAATTCCTTAATTTCCATATAAAAATAGAAATGGGTGTTTTAATCTAAGCATTGGTTCCATTGGTAAGCAAATCTTTCCCAACAGAAATGTATAATAGTAAAAAGTCTGTACTGTGCTTCTAACAAATACTATTTGATCTGTTACTGATCCTGTGGCTCAAGTTGGTTTAACCAGTTGGAACCAGCTGCACAGAATCTACTGTGGCTTGCTGTAGTGCACTGTCTGAAGGCTTGCATTTTCTATATCTTTGCTTATCAAAGTTGAATGTTGGGGATCTTTGTCATCACCTGAGGCATCTGTTTTTCCCATAGTTGTGAAAGTATAAGAAAGCTATCTCTTGAATTTTTTTGTTTGAACAGACTTTTACTATTTCTTCTTCTCTGGCAGAAGTGAGAGCCACCCACAGAAATCTAATATTTTAACCTTACTGGTTGGGCATTTTTTATCTCCCTCTCCCCCAAATCCACAGAAGAAATAACTGAGTCCTAAAAAAATAAAGAGAACACATCTGATCTTCCCCCTAGTAAACTACATACAACGTTTATGCATGTGACTTGGGCTGGATTTGAGTTAGAGGAAAATGTCTGGGGGATATTTGGCACTTTACTACAACCTGAGGTTTTTTGGCTGGAAATCCATGCTTTACTCAGCTTTATCTCTAACCAGCATTTCTGACTGCAGACACGTCAGGCCTGTGATGATAAGGCTCTACTAGTACAGCCCTACACCCTCTAAGTAGATGGGAGCAGGAGCACTGAGTAATACTTTTGGGTTCTGTGCTGCATTCAAGATCAAACAGATCCCCAACCCTGCTATATTGCATGGTTAGTCCTGACCACTCAATGAGGTGTATTAGGAATGAACCGCACTTGAGGAGTTGCTGTGACTACTGCACAGACTCCCCCATACACAGAATGGGAATAATGTATTTGCATTGGAAGGGTTATTTAAAACGTTGAAGAACTAAGAAAAATGTTCCACATGAAATAGGAGTAGAGTTAGGAAACACAAAAAATGCTGCTTTCGCTGGTATTTTTGTTTTGGTGATGGATGCCACTGGTACCTAGTCTTAGTTAAGTTAATGGAGAAATGCAGGGAATGGCATATCCAGTTAATAATAAGGTTCTTGCTCTTTTCATAATTCTTTGGTGTCCAGGGCAACAAGAATGCAGGCTCCCTGACCAAACGTTTGGTTCTGGAAAGCCGTTGGCCTCCTTGTTGAGAAGGCTGACACACTTTGACTGTAAAAACCTGGATAGCTTGTCGGAGCCTGGCAGAGGGCAAGGCGCATGCGTAGTGTGATGCGCTTGGTTTGAAGGAAGGGGGGGGGTGAGGAGTTACAAAGGCGAAGTTAGGTGGCTTTCAAGTGCTATCTAGGGCGTGGGGAGGATGAGGCCCTGCCTGGGACAATAAAGCACAGTCAGCCTGGAAAAGATGGAGGGCTTTTACTTGGTTCCCACACTGGACTCTTTTGCCTAAATGATCAATATGAATAAATAGGCTAATATAGAATGAATTACACTGAAGTGTAGAACCAGCTGAAACATCAAGTAGTTTTATGTACATTTCACATAAATAGAGTAATTGTTTTGCAGTTCAGTTTGCAGTCCTTTATAGCAAATAAGGGCAAATCTGATTGTTTCTGCAATAAAGATGTGTGTCTAGGGATATTGTTAGACTGTGTGCTTGACTGACCAGTTCAGGCATTTCTTTTTCTTGCTTGCAACTTAGATCTGTGCTTTGTCACAGTAATTAGTTTGAAAACAAAAGCCTCCTCCTACATTTTATTTCATTCTCTCATACAGTACCATCCCTTAAAATGAAGTGGCTTCATGTCTGCTCCACTAACATGTAGAGCCCCTTTATTTTGTATGAGAGTAAAGAAAATATTTCAGGAACAGGTAAATTATTCGTACTACTTGTTACCTAGGTTAAAAGGAGCAACTGAGTCAGAACACCCCTCCCAAAATGGCGTGTAAAGAGGAAAGAGAGGCTGAAGATTACAAGAGGAGGGGAAGAAGATCTTCACAGGTCAAATGCTTTCTTTTTCTAGTTTTCTGACATGGGTAAACAGAGAATTCTTGCTTTGCTGCTGCTTCAGTTGCTCCTTGTGTGGCTTAGACTACACATTGCACTATTCTCTTCTGCTTGGCTCTTAAATACTTCATTGTGCCTTTTGTTTCCTGCCCTAGTTTGGAAGATTTATCGTAAGTTTGTAACTTGCAAATCTATAAATTATGAAAGTTTTGCTGTGAAGGGTAGAACTTGACAACCAATATTTAAATAGATATTTGTTATCCATAAATAGAAATAAAAACATAGAATTACCAAGTTCTAATAATAGCCACTTTATTAAAGATAAGACTGCTGAAAGTAAAACAAACTGTATTATACTAAAATGAGCAAAAGCAAAGCAAAAATTACTCATAGATAATCTGGCAGTTTGGTTGCATATTTCCTGCTGACCGGCATCCAGTTCTAACTGAAATGGTAACTGTGGTAATTATGTTCGTGCTGTTCTACTAAAGACTGCTGGGGGTAGGGAATCACATTACTGAATGTACTCCATATAAAGAAATTCCAGCTAGAAAAGGTAACACAGCATGGCTAAGAGTTTAGTATTCTGCAAGTAACAACATTATGTGAGATGCACTCCCTCCCATCTGCAGTTGAAAATGGTAGGTTTGCCACTTCATTGAGAACTAGGCCAAATGCTGCCATGTCTGAGCTGATCAATTTCACTTGGTTAAATTCCTGAACTGATTGCGTTATGCTATATTTTGGAGATGTTTGGCAAAGAAGCAAACTGAAGCCATCTGTTGAAGGTTTAATTGTGATGCAACAATTGCAACTGTCAAGGAAGAGCGTATCAAGTATGTGCAGCCATAACCAGATATTTAAATACATGATACTCAAAACACTGGAAATAACTAAATATTCGGCATTAATCTGGATGATAGATGCAGTAATATAACATAAGGCATCTCTCTTGCCATATGTTTACCCCCTCTTCACCATACAGCCCCCCCTAGTTTTATGATTATGTTACTTCCACCTTATAGAACTTAACTGAATGATGTCTTATATTCCAAAGACTTAGCTATATAATGATTTTTGATTTCATGCTAGAAAACCCTAGATATGTGTGGGGCATATATAGTCATATGATCTGAAAATGATTGGATTATCCAAGAGCTATGTACATTCTGTTTGGGGAAGGAAGGGAAAGCAAGGGACAGTTTAGCTGATATTTTGCATGTGTTCATCATGACATAGGTAGAGCTTTTGGAAACCAGCAACAGTCCATATTTATTTTCCACCATCACCTTCATGCATGCTTGCACTCTCACCTTGGTGCTTAGAAAAGACTTTGAAGATGATCAGCAAAGATCGGCACTCACTTGCTTCTGCACTAAAGAGAAGGGTTGGGATTGGCTGTTTTCAGCAGTGAGGGGCCAAAGAATGCACAAAATGAGCCTCTGGAGTGGAAATTGGAGCTTGGCATTTTGTCAGTGGCCAGAACAGCCAGTTCCATACTCCCTTCCAGAGACACAGTGAAAGGCAGCTAAGAGTCCTGGAAGCAGGCCCCATTGAACATAATGAGACTTTCCAGTAAACCACCATTTTGTCTTGGCCAAAATGTGTGATCCTCTGTCTTCAGTATGGGCCATCTGATTTCTGCACCATTTAGTATCTAGCTTCCATTCCAATTCAGGTATTGTCCAGATGTCCCTAGTATTCCAGTATGGGTACCATAAAATTCATGCTAAGTTATAACAAGGTTTCTTAAATGGAAACATGACATAGCCTTTTCCTGATTAGCTGTGTAAGGTAAGCATGTATTTTTCCACTAATAATCAGGAATATTACCAAGGTTTGTTAAATTTGGCCACTGCAAGACTAGTATTGGTTTCTGCAACAATATGTGGCTGTCAGGTTAATAATTGTCTGCTCTTCTAAAATGTAGTATAGTGATCTTGACTCGAGAGCCTCTTGTTGCAGTGGTAGGGTGGATGTTAATTTTCAGGAAAGTTTGTTTTTCTGGAGAGTCCAAGCTAAGTATCTTAGCAGATTATTTCAAAGGAATGTGTTACTTTCTAGACAGATTATTAAAAGTGATGTAAGAAGTTAAAAATGTCATGATCCTGGAGATTCCTTCCAGTAGCTAACTTGCTCCAGAGATGCAGTCTCTTAAACACATTATGTGTGATAATGTGCTATGAGAAAAGAGGAGAATGTTCATATTCTGCAGTTCCCAGAAATTAAAGGATTTCCATTAGCAGGCTTTAAAGCAAGACCCATACTGACATTGTTTATCTGCAACAATGTGCAGTTTCTACATGCAAACTGCTATGCCTCAATGATTTTATGAATGAATAGGGGTATTTATGTACCCTTAATATGCTTAGGTCTAAGTGAAGCAGAAATTATTTCATAATACTATCCTTAATACATGAAGTATAAACAAGAAAGTGGTGTCGTAGAAATGAACAAGACAATCTGCTTCCTTAACATTTCTACTGTTTTCTGGAACTAAAATACTGTCAGATAAGCTATATTAAATTAGAGTATTAACCATGGGAACCTATGCTGCATCTCATTGGAACATGCAGCAATATTCTTATTTTGTTACATCCAGATTATTCGGTAGGTAAAATTGAGACCTGCACATGTTCTGAAGTCTAGCTTCTTGTTGTTCTTACAAATAAAATCGAGAAGGACAAGCTGTTATGTATGGTAACTAGAAAGTTAAAATCCCCTCCCTGAAATGGTAAGTCTAAGCAGTGATTGTTCATCTTTGGCCAAAATTGGTTGTCCTCTGAAATTCAATACATGGTATCTGAAAGATTTTTATTTGTTCATAAGAACTTAATAAAAGTGCCGGTCTGTTTGGCCTCCTAATCTTAGATGTGATTGCATGGAAGTGTGATAATAAAAGTCACAGGCCTGTTGAGCTCAGTGTACTTTTAACTGTTTGTGGATTGTTCTGCATTTAAAGCCAGAAACAAGCTAATAGAAACTAATGCTGCTGTTAATGTTTTTAGTGTAGCAAAGTGTGAAACTTGTAACTCGCTGTTTCTAACAGTAAATCATGTGTGAATACAGATAAATCAACTTCACAACATCATGTATCTTGTATACCACACTGAGACTTTCCTTCTTCCAGGGCCATGATCCTAAGGAACCAGAACAATTGAGAAAACTGTTTATTGGTGGCCTGAGCTTTGAAACTACGGATGATAGCTTAAGAGAACATTTTGAAAAATGGGGCACACTAACAGACTGTGTGGTGAGTGATCACAACATCCAGCTTAACAGAGCAAGTCTATGTATATTTACCTTGGAAGCAGTTCCCACTCTTTTCAGTGGGGCTTACTCCTGGGCATAAAACTGCAGTCTGTGCCACAACATCAGTGCCTAAATTAGTGTTACATGCGCTGTATGTGTAAAATTTCTTTAAGGTGATGAGAGACCCGCAAACAAAGCGTTCCCGAGGCTTTGGTTTTGTGACCTACTCTTGTGTAGAAGAGGTAGATGGTGCAATGGCAGCTCGACCACATAAAGTTGATGGACGTGTAGTGGAACCAAAGAGAGCAGTTTCTAGAGAAGTAAGTAAATCTTGATGTATATTTGATTAGTAGTTACTTAATTAAGCAGATACTTCATTTGTAAATCTAAATATGTTTTTAAATCTCATTCTTGGAAATGCTAAACATAACCTGCAATTTTATAGGATTCTGTGAAACCTGGTGCCCATTTAACAGTGAAGAAAATATTTGTTGGAGGGATTAAAGAAGACACAGAAGAATATAATTTAAGGGATTATTTTGAAAAATATGGCAAAATTGAAACCATAGAAGTAATGGAAGATAGGCAAAGTGGAAAGAAAAGAGGGTTTGCCTTTGTAACATTTGATGATCATGATACAGTTGACAAAATTGTTGGTATGTAATCATGCTATGTTTTCTTTTTACTGTTACTGATATATGAAACACTTTCAAGTGAACAAGGGACTTAGTCTAAGAACAACTTTGGTCAGGGCCATATCCCACCCTCCTAGATCTCTCCACCTTGACTCTGTGGTTACATGTCCAACTGAGAAGAGCAGGCTGGCCCCAGCTTTGTGTTCCTTTGTATACACAGGCTCTTAGTCCAGAATTGTCCATGTTATGTCCCCAAGCAGAAACTGGCTGGCTGGCTTTTCACCCTTCTCAAGGTTCCTGATTTGATCAAATACTCCCTTTGATCAGTCAGAATCTCCCACCACCCCCAAGGGTTTCAGCTACCATCACTGTGATTGAGTGAGCTTCCTAACTGTGTGAAACAACCTCACTAACAGCTTCAAAAACTTGCATCTCATGCAATATCAGGATCCCAGAGAACCCTTTCTCTGTAGCAAGAACACCCTTTTATTCTAACAAGGAAATGAGAAGAATTTGGTTGCAGAGAATCCAACTAAAATGCCCCTCAGGATCCAGACAGAGGAAGGCTAGGCACTATCCACTCAGACTTAAGATCCTGTTGCAGTGTCCAGGTTACAGCCAGGATAGGGGATGGGGTTCAGCAGGAATTCAGTCCTTTTAAGTGTTGTTCTTAAAAGGCAATTGGGAAAGCATGATTGACTCAGACTGGAAAAAGCATGTGGAATGCAGTATGCACATCTCCCATAATATATGTACTTTTGAATGGCATGGATGATCTGTGCCTTTGAAACCTCCTCTCCTTTCCCACCTGACTCAGTTTGGAGATGTAACCATTTATTCATCTTCCTTTTTTAACAAAAGTGAGATTAACAAGGAGATTAATGTGGAGCAGAGTTCTTTCACTGGTGGCATCCATTTAATGGACTATCCTGCTTAAAGAGTTCCAAGAAGCTCGCCCATTCCCCTGCCTGTTAGTTACCACCTCCTTTCTGCTATTTGGTACACAATTGCTTATTTCATTTTGTTTTGTTTCATTTCTGTTTGTGTGTTAACTTCATTGTTTGCAAAAATGCAACTACTGCTGTGAAAATAACTTTAGGTAATTGTGCATGAAAGAATACTCATAATATGTGTACTTTCTTGCCATAAGAATTTCAAAACTTCTTTCAGTTCAGAAATACCACACTATAAATGGACATAACTGTGAAGTGAAGAAGGCTCTCTCCAAGCAAGAAATGCAAACAGCCACTGCTCAAAGAAGTGAGTGTGTTACCTTGACAGCACAGGTGGTGGTGGTGGTCGTGGAAACAGCTTTCATTGCCAAATATTCACTCCCCCTCCCTCCCTCCCTCCCTCCCTCCCTTCCTTCCTTTCTTTTTGGTGTGGACTAGGTCGTGGGAGCAGTTCAAGCAACTTCACAGGTCGTGGGAACTTTGGAAGCAGTGGTGGAAATTACGGCAGAGGTGGAAGTTTTGGTGGTAGAGGTAAATGTCTTTCCCCACCCTCTTTTAAAAAGATCACCTTAAAATATGACACATTATGGGTTTTAACACTTTCGTTCTGATTTAGGAGGCTATGGTGGCGGAGGTGGAGGAGGTGGCAGCAGCAGAGGAAGTTTTGGGAGTGGTGATGGATACAATGGCTTTGGTGATGGTAAGCACAACATAGCTGATAGCCATTGAATTATACCTGACCTTAGAGAAAACAAATCAGCTGTAATTTACTTGTATGTACTCTGAAGTATCTTAACATGTGGAATATGCAAGGAAAGGAGACAACATATGGAAAACATAGTTAAACAGGACAGGATCCAGACTTAATTAGTCCTGCTATTTCATAAGGCAAACTTAATAACAGAACATGGGACAAAGCTCATGATTTCCAAGAGGCTGTGTAAGTGTAGCCAGCTTTGTGTGAATCACAATTCCGTGACCTGTTTTGCACAATATGACGGTCCACAGTGGCTTGATTTTTCTGTATGGACTGTTGCATCATGCCAGATGTCCATGGTTGCTCAGCTTGCTGTATTATGTTAGCACAGAGAGCAGCAGTGTTTGAAACCATCAAATAACTCTAAAATATTGAAACCCTTATCCAACACAGCATAGAGGGGGTCTTTAGATGCCCAGAGAATATGACAGACTCTGCAAATAATTAAGCCATGGACTGTTTTACTTTGTAAACCGAATCATTTATTTGGAATTGAAGGTCCCAAAGAATGCAACCTCTGTTCATGAAAGGTTGGCCAGTAAAAGGAGCCTTTCCCCTCTGCCCATTGAAATCTGCAAATCTGTGTAAAGGGGGGGCATCTCCAAACCTTAAGAACATGATGCTTTAGGCTGCAGGATGATTGCATGAAAACTATTCCTTCCTTTCTGCAAGCAGATACCTCTACTGTTTTTGGGTCCTTTCTGTGCCTGGAGGAGCAACTAAAGATATTTAGATTTATGAAATATTTGTAAAATCTGCATTTAACAGTTCCTATATTTAGGATCCTATATTCAGAGTAGTATGACAACGGTACTTACTACCTTGGGAAGTTGTGGGCTCTCCCTTGCTGAAGACATTCAAAAGCTTCTGAACAGTCATCTGAGTGGAATGTTGTAACTTAGTGTCCTGCAACAGCAGCAGGTTGAACCCCATGGCCTTTGGGCCCCTTCCAACTCTGCTGTGTTATGATTTGGTGCACCTAAAATACCAGGACCTTGTAAAATCGGTATAAATAATCAACATACCATATTGTGGAATATTCAGTATGTTTGAAAGTTGAAATAAATGGATTTTCTGCATTTTTCCAGTTACATAATAAGCCATCATAGAACTCTAGTCACCACAAATGTAATACTTTGTAAGTACAACTCCCATCAGCCCCAGCCAGCACAGGCAGTTGTTAGGGATCATGGCAGTTGTAGACCAGACATTTGGAGGGGCCCAGGCTGATGGAGAAGGGTGAAATAGTTTATTGAGTTCATTAAGGCAGCTCCATTAGGATGCCTTGATTGGTTACCATAATTGTATAATATACCTTTTATAGCAGTTCATCTCAAAACTGGACCTGAAAGTCCCTGGCATTGCATTCAGTGCATTTACTTTGAGATTTTTTACAAATACAGTTACTTTTGTTGTGTTAATTAATGTTTCAAGGCGGAAACTATGGTGGTAGTCCTGGATATGGTGGCAGAGGAGGTTATGGTGGTAGCCCAACTTACGGAACACCAAGCGGCGGATATGGTGGAGGGGGAGGAGGCTACGATGGCTACAATGAAGGAGGAAGCTTCGGCGGTAAGAAAACTGAATTATATCATCTAACATCTATCTGTATTTCTAGTATTAGGTAAACCTGTTGCTTCAAAAGGTCTTGTAGGAATAATTAATTAAAAATAGTGTTGTGCTGTGTACATTTATGCTTTATAGGTTATAATCTAGGTTGTAGGTTATACCATTTCAGGTTCTAAACTCTCTGAAATATCAATAGTTTGAAAGATGCTTGGGGAATCTTTATGTGTTTCCCTAGACACATCAACTTATTTGAACCATAGAGCAACATTGGTAACAATTCTTCAGATGAACATGCTTCAAATCTTTAAAATCTGTTAAGGAAAATACTACATTTTTTTAGCTACCTAATTCCCGTCTCTAGCATGAACTGAAGAATTTTTACATTTTATGATTCTGATCTGTCAAGCTGCTTTTCCCCTGTCTTCCCTAAAGCTTCTTGTAGATAATTTACTACCAAAAGTGGCTGGAGGATCCAGCAGGTAGTTCTCCCATCCAGGAAATAGGTGTGTAACCTGTTGTATATGGGGCTGCATTTCCCCTGAAAGAGCAGATAGTCCTGGATCCAGCATTGCCTTAGGTGACCTCAGCTTCAGGGGGTGCCTTTAATCAGCCTCAGCTTCTTCACTAGGTCTATCCATCCCTGGGCACAGAAAATTATGTTAAAGTGATCTATGCCCTGGAAACCGATGTAATGGATTACTACAGTGTGTTGTACAGGAAGGTGCCCCTGAAGACGATTCAGAAGCTTCAAATGGTGCAAAATGCATCTGCTGGAGCTTAAATAGTGCAACCAGATGGGAGTGTATTACCCCAATTACCTTGACTACCTAATCATTTCCAACTTCAGTTCAAGATGTGATGCTTTTTTTCAAAGTCCTAAACAGCTTGGGACCCAGATACCCAAAGGAGCATTGCTCCATCTACCACCATTATTCCATATACTTACCTGTCCATCCCTTTACATTCTTCAGAGGAAGCTATTCTCCAGATTCCCTTGGCCCAAGGAAGGCTCACTGTGTAGGAACTAAGCAGAGGGCCTTTTCTGTGATGATGTCCTACCACTGCACTGCCTTTCTTCATTGGAGCTTGGCTGGTGTTGACCCACTGCCATTTTACTGCAGGTTAAAATAATTTTTCTAGGAACTTTTGGAAAGTTTTTCCAAAATGTAAGTTGTTAATGAGGTTAATGGAGCAGGGGTGTGGAGGGGAATAAGTCAAAGTGTTGAGGCATCTTAAAAGACTAACAAGGAAGGCTAGTGCATTTTTTTTCCATGCCAGCTGCGGCTCCAAAGTTTCAAGTGTGACTTTGGAATAAGCATGGAGAGTGGGGGCATTCAGCAAGGAGGCTTCACGGGGGTACAAGGAATCCCAGTGGTATGTCAGCCCCTCCTCACAAGCAGTGCCAGAAGACATAGGCAGCTGAAACCAGCGGCGTCTTTTGCAGAGCAGAAGTCCATGCTTCCACACTCCTACCACGCTCAGTTGGATGCCCAAAATCCTTTTGAATTCAAAAGGTTACGGGTAGCCACACTGGATGATGTCTGAAATAATCCTAGCTGTAGGAACACTAAAGGTAGCCATGCTGACCTTTAAAAAAACTTCCTAAAATCCATATCAGTATGCTATCTTTATTAAGCCAGCCAAACATCAGAAAAAATCTAGAAGCTGTCAAGATCTCCAGACTTCTTCACCAGACAAGATGTTAGAAAAACAGAAGGTAGCAGGAACAGGGCTGAGTTGATGATGAATTCACATATTGGAGTCCCAAGATGAAATCGGAAGAGCAGTGTGCTGCTATAGAAATAGATGTACTATAGCTGAATGGTTTGGGACTAGACTGCCTGAGGGAGCACTTTGCTCCGTATATGCCTGCCCACTCATTTAGATCCTCCTCTGAAGTCCTCCAAATACCCCTCCAGTGAGATCAAGCTCAGTGAGAAAGGGTTAGGATGAGAGAGTGGCACCCAGACTCTGGAATTCACTCCCCAGGGACATACGGCTGGCATTGACTTTACTTTCTTTTAGACGCCAGGTGAAAACAAGCTTTTGGTTAATTTATAGTTCATTCATTATTTAATTTTGATTGTTAATTTATTGGTTGCATGTGGTCATGTTGTATACAGTTTTATATAATTTTTATTATGTGAGATGGTTTAACAACCATCTTTTGCTTTTATCCATTTTATTGATTGTATTTACATGCTGCTTTCAGCATTGGTAAGCTGTCCAGAAGCCTTCAGGTTATGGGGTGGCATAAAGGTAGAATGGAATGAATGAATTAATGTACTAGGATAGGTAGGTCATGAGATGTATAGAAGCTTGGGTCTGGAACTGGGAGCAAGAAATCCTTACCCATGATTATATCCGGTCAATTGAAATGCAAGTACAATAATCCAGACCCATTAAAACTTGTCCTGCACACTAAACTATATCTGGCATTGCTTAGTTACTTAATCTGAGAGGATTGTAGTGAATATTGAAGCCTATTTTGGAAAAAAATGCTTGATCTAAGTAATTCATATGAAATAAAAATTTTGTTCTCAGGCAACTATGGTGGCAGTGGAAGCTATAATGATTTTGGCAATTACAGTGGACAGCAGGCATCCAGCTATGGACCCATGAAAGGAGGTGGCAGTTTCAGTGGCAGAAGCTCAGGCAGTCCCTATGGCGGTAAACACACTATTTCAGTAGATAAATCTGATGACTACTCCTGAGGGAAATTTACTTCAACAGTTAATATTCCTTTTGCAGGAGGCTATGGATCAGGAGGAGGAAGCGGTGGCTATGGTGGTAGAAGATTCTAACAATTGTTCCAGCCTAAAGGTAGGTATGCTACAAACAAGTGTTGTATATGAAAACTACAACGTTTCACTGAGAGTAATCCTTTTCTTATCCTGTATTCAACAGGCTACAGTTCTTAGCAGGAGAGAGCGAGGAGTTGTCAGGAAAGCTGCAGGTTACTTTGAGACAGTCGTCCCAAATGAATTAGAGGAACTGTAAAATCTGCTACAGAAGGAGCGATGAACCATAGTCAGAAAAGTTACTGCAGCTTAAACAGGAAACCCTTCTTAAGGACTGTCATAGCCACAGTTTGCAAAGAGTGCAGCTATTGATTTAATGCAATGTAGTGTTTAGATGTACATTCCTGACTTTTTTTTAATTTGTTGTTGTAGCTTTGTCTTTTCTTCATAAAATCAGGTATATTGCCCTGTAAATTTGTGGTAGTGGTACCAGGAATTAAAAAATAATTAAGGAACTTTTAATTTTTTCAATACTTGTGTAGTTCAGTTTTTTCTTACTGAAACTTCTTTAATAAAGAAATGTAGTTTTAGGGTATATTCTTGCTAGGAAAAAATCAGTGCATTATAATCTGTATTAATTTAAACTATAGAAATGCTGAATCGTTTAAGAACATTAGTTTTTCTGCATATGTAGCTAAATGAAATGAGTTGCACATGCAAAGGGAGAGACAAGATGTTTGCATTAAAGCTTGTTTAGCTGTATAACTAGGACTGAGTCATTTAAACTAGTGCTTGTGAATGATAAAAAGCTTTACTTTCAAATGGAAATTCCAGATACATCTGGTTTGTGCATATCTTAATTTGTAGCCTTTGTTTCTTAGCTTAAGTCTTCTAAGTAAATAAGCATTGAAAGAGTTCTCTTAAAGCTTCATTCAGTTTGCCTCCCATTTCATTGATACATGCAGGAACTACAATAAGCGCTGACAGAACAGGCTTCTGCCCTCCATTACTGTTGAGGCTTAATTCCCCCTAAATGGCAAACAGATTTAAGTGCACACACACATAACTGAATTAAAACTTTGAAGCCAATAGTCTGGGTCTGTTACTTAGGTTCTAACTGTATAGCCTCATTTGTATCTATTTCCGCCCTAAAACATGAATTCATTTGTAATGGTTAATACTTCTATTGTATGTGATTCTGTACGCCTGCTCTACCAGGAGCAAAACTGCAGCACAGGCACAGTCCCTCTTGAGTTCCTTGTAATGATTATAAACCTTCCGACAATGGGTAAAATAACGTATTTCACTCACTTTCCAATGCCCTGAGCATAGGTCTTGAAGGTGATGTGAAAGCAAACTGGTGCACAGTCTAGCAGTAGGACCTCTCTGGGCTGAAGATGATACATTGGTCACGAACGGGTGTCGTATGGCTAGAGTGCATCAGAACAATGTGGTCAAAACTTGATTAAATTCACAACTGTGGGTGTGGTATTTACTCCTTCACTTACCCAAATTTGTGTACAGCCATGTTCCCTAATAATCTGCTGTCCTTCTCAATCTGATCAGACTTCTCTTTTAACTATTGCCAGAGCAGTGCTTTCTGTCAATACACATCCAGAAGAGTAGGGCACAGTGAGTAGAAGAAACTCAGACACTTGCCAGTATGATGCTGGAATTTCTCACCTGTTACTTCTTCTCTAGGCCAATGAACAGTATAAGGTAAAGATAATTTCAGTATAGGAATGGGCTATCAGACATTCGGAAATGTTGCTCGACGAGGCACTGAGTCATGGTTGTTGGGTATAGAATACGATCGTTAAATCTCATTTGCAATGTGTAAGGTGTGCTAAGCACTATCAAGAGCACTGATACACAGAAGCTCCATAATGTCAATGTATTACAGTGGGAATTAGGCGGCTGGCCTCTCAGGATATCCTTTGTGGTTTTGGGAAACAGTGCCTACACTCAAAAGAGACAAAACTTGTTGAAGGGCATCGGTTTCATATTGTACTATGGAATCTTCATATTACGAAGTTGCATGTGCACATTTCTTGCGAGGATAGATTAGATCTCAATTACCCCTTCCAGGCCTGCTATTGATTGTAAGGGCAGAATTGAAGGATGGGTTTAAGGTACTTGATCTGTTCTTAATGGAGGGGGGTGGAATCTTGATGGCAAATAGTGAAATCTCTCAATTTTATAGTGTGGTTATCTGTTTTGCAATTCTTAATATGAAATCTGTAGGTTGCCAGTTGTTGGTGCCAGTGTCTTAGACCTAGTTCTCGGTGAACTTGGGGAAGTATAAGCAGAGGACAGTGATTAACCAGCTTTAAAGACTCTAGGATGTATCTCTTAGGCAAAGTGTGGATCAAAGGACTCAGACAGGACTTCAGCAGCCTATTGTGTATGTGGACAAGTCAGCATAATTAAAGAATGACGAGGCAGCAACAGCACCAGCTTCAACTTCCAGAAAAGTGAAGGCATAAAATACTATGCTGATAGTGAGCATCTTTCCAAAAGCTAGTTAAATATCGAAGAAATATCGAAGAAAGTCTAGCAAGAGTTCTTCACCAGTTGGAACCTCCTTGAGTCATAGCTACTTGAGTTGACCCAGAGTCATAGGTCTAGCATTTAGACCTGAAAGGAAGGGGAATAAGAATAGGTAAGGTTTGTCTCTAACACTTTTCATGAATTAAAGAACAACTCTTTGCTGAACAAGGTAAGAAAATTCTCTTTAACTTGCAGATTGTAGAAGAAACTTGTCCAGAGGTCTGTTTCTTACCCACTGGAAAATCTTGGCTTGGTAAGACTAACGCAGTACTAATTTTTAATATACCCATGACTGTATTCTGAACTTAGAAAATCCAGCCTCAATGATAAGTGGAACTATAAGGTGAGTGCCAACATGTATCACTGTACCTCCAAACTATGAAATGTGAGAGACCTAGTGTTAACATTAGCATTTATATAGGCTTAGAATAGTTTGGGGTACTTTACAGTCCTTACAACAACTCTGCAAGGTAGGTTGAGATAGGTGGATGGCTGAAGGTGGTGGCTTGCACAATGAGTTGGTGACCAAGTTCACATATAATGGCAAATCATTGATTGGCCCATGGTTTACCATCTACAGGCAGGAGTGAGTGTGCACACTGCCTCATTTGCACTCCTCGTTTTTGCTTTCAGTCAACAGCTTGGGTTGAAAGTAGGTTGTGATACGGGAGTCCAGAGTGCTGGGTTGTTGAGGGGCTACAGCAGTTAAATCATGGCTTGTTCAGTTAACTCCATGCTTGTCCGTCATACTTGGCAACCTACGACCCAGCCAATCGTAGGTTGTTGATTAAAAGCAAAGGTGAGGAAAGTACAGGAAGTAGCTCATACGTGGCTTCTCAAGCATGGCTGTTACGTGAGAACTAGGTCACTTGCAAAGGCAGAATCTGATCTGGAATGGAATGTCCCTTACTCAGCTTATGTACTTTGGGGAATGTAGCAAATTACCAGTAGTCGCCTTAGTGATAAATTTACCACGAATTAATGAGATGTAGGGGAGTTTTTTTTAAAGAGAACTGAAGTACAAGTCTATTAATTTAGTTTTGGACAAACATGCCACTTAAAAAGTAGTAGATTGCCATATTTTGCTGCTAGCTCAGGCAAAAGCCATTAGATCCCCGATGTTTAGTGCAATTTGACAATCTCAGGCTATGATCCTAAGGTAATTTAGAAGTAAGATACATTGAAATGTGTAGCACTAGCTTTCAAGTAAATACATGATAAATTTGGTGGAAAGAACTTGATTAAGCATTGCAGATTTTCTCTTGGTAACCTCAATTACTACATTTCAGGCAAGAAAATTGGTAAGTTACTCATTCGGAACTTGAATACATGATACCCCCTCCAAGTTACTGGCTCTCTTTCAGGTAACATAAATCTTTGACAAAGTGTTTCTCACTTGCAGCTAGGGTTTTTCCCTTGCTTTGTTACTTTAGTCTTGAATGTTTCATAACCCAATAATATTTGGAACTCTTGTTTTGCCTTTTTCCCATCTGTTGTAGGTCTGCATGCTAACGAAGATAGGAGCATGGTTCCAGCTGTTCTACGCCTGTTGGGCACCCTGACATTCCCACTTCACTATGAACTTGGACAGGAGAGCTTGAAGTTGTAGGCTTCTCCCATCTGCATAAGATGCAATGCAAATGCTTAACCTAGAGCACACAGTGCTAGAGGGCAGAGTCCCTCATCAGTCCTGCCTTTACAGCTGGCACTGTAAAGCATGTAGTTTGAGCTTGAATTCCAGGCTTCTGAGTGGTAAACAGCACCTGTGCTCCCTGTCCTTCTCTAATGGACTTCACCAAGCTGCTTGTGTACTGAGCTCGGCACTCCCCAATGGAAGAAAGAAGCAGGGTGAGTGCATCGGCATCTCTTTCTTCATACCCACCCATCAAGAGGTCTGCTGGCACTCTCTGGCTACCACAGGAAGACCTGAAACCCTGTGTGCACTCAGTTAAGCATTTTCCCCAAGCAATGAAGGGCTCAGCCAAATGTGTGTTTCAGTGCAGCCATGAGAGCGGGTGGGGGTGCATGTGTTCGAAGGGAGTGGGGACAGTGCAGTGTAATTAATCAGTAACTAATTGGTTAGCCTTCGGGTACTCAGCTAACATTCCGAATATTTTTTTTTTCTTCTGCCCTGCAGGGTGCTAACAAAAACGACCATCTCTTCCACACAAGTTGAAATAGATGAAATACATCAGTATCACATGAAGATAGCTCATAGCCTATGACAGCGGGAAATTGATTGGCGTGTGTAATACTTGTATCGATCAAATGCTTACAATAAAGTGCCATTATTTATCATGATAGTTGGTGGATCTGCTAATTATACAAAGCGGTTAGGTTGTCTTTTCTGCATCACTGAACAGTAGCTTTCATAAGATGCCTTCCAAAGTCCACAGTGCCTTGAAGAGCTTGGAGTTGTGTAAAGTGTGGCTTGGCATCCTTCCATTAGCTGTACAGATGGGTACACAGTGCTCGACTGTCTAATAGTGGAATTTCTTTTTACTTTCACCTCTCTGTTTAAGGAGAAGATAACTCTTCCTCCCCCTATTGAACTTAGCAAGAACACGTTAAATGTTTTCATCTGCTGCTTTATATAATAAAAAGATACTTCATACACTAGGAAGCCCAGTCCCAGGGAGACGTAGTGTCTATGAGAAGACTGAGGGAGGGCAACACTTAGACTGAGAGCTGTTTTTATAGTACATTTTACAGTTGGAGCTGTTTCAACATACAAAATGTGTACGTTGTAATTTGTGATGTGTATGTGCAGAAATTGTACCTTTTTCCTACAAAATACAAGTACTGATCAGGGCTAAGTACGGTGAAGTGCCTGGTCCTGCCTAATCTTGGAAGGTAAACAGCCAGCCTTGGATAGAATCTGGGTGGGAGACTTGAATCTTGCTGGACCTGCTGGCCTTCCAGGCCCAGACAAATGTATGATTTTATGACTGAAAGACATTGTACCATTTGGGGTGGTGTCAGGACTATGAAATCTCTTTCTGTCTTAGGCTGTGCATGTTTTCTACCTGGTAGTCACTTGAGAACAAAGAAATGTGAGCTGCTTGAGAGGCCCTGAAGATTAAGAATATGCAAAGCTTCATTTAAATTCTTAAAAGAGAGTTTAAAGTCCATGAACTAAGGTCCAAAACACCTAAACACACTTTTGACCTAGAAAGGGGAAAATATATTGACTAGCAATAGCTTTTTTCCAAAGTGCAAATGCCTGAAAGTATGAAATTGTACAACTTATTTTGTTACCATACAGTATTAAACTATAGTTAATAGCATCCCTTTATCTAATATCCAGACAACTTTGATATTGCATTGTATATAAATATGAACTGTGAATAAATGTGACTGAAAACTTTGTATGGGGGGGGGCTTTCCCCCTTCATACCAAAGTAGTTTGTTACCACAAAACCCTAATACATTCTTGGAAATGAAACCATCCATGAACTGAAGTTGTTCTACCAAAAAAAAAAAAAGCCAACCATTGAAATTGGTTTGTCACCTGGAAGAGATACTTTGATCTATAAATCAGGGTGAATCATGCTGCAATGCTACTGTGAAAGGTGGTTCCAGTGAAATCAATAGCACTTAATTCTCTCTCTCTCTGAAATAGAAGTTACTAGAAAATTATAGAAAACAAGTTTTGTGTATTTAATAACTGAATGGGTACTCCATGTTTGATTTTTTTTCTTGTTAGCTTGTGTTACAGTTTGTAGCAGCTGTAAAAGGCTATTTTCTGCACCTAAATTGATTCTCTTACAACTTGTCAGAATTTGGAAACTTAATTTTGAAATCAGCAGGAATACTCAGAGATTTGTCAGAATGGCATACTGTCCATGTTTAAGGTAAACCAAAAGGGGAAAAAACAGACAAAGTTGTATTCTCTGGCTCAAATGTAAGGGAGATTTCCTGGGTTTTCCTTTGTTCTGCAAGTGCTCTGCAGTTTTTACTATCAATATTATTCAGGCTTGCTGATCATGGTAAGTCAAGCAATGCAAAGCACTGGAGACCCACTCCTATAAACCTTGTTTGGGCATTTGCTCTGAGTTCTAAGGCTTTGGTTCAGTTTCATGCAAATACTTGATGCCGTTAAGGATTGTATTTAATGACAAAAGCAGTTCTGAACTAGGAGGGTGATTTTTCTCTCTTGCAGCCCCTCACCCCACCCCTGGTGCTTTCAGAGGGCTGAAACTTTCTAGAGCAGATTTTTGGTGGTATAGAAGGGTGACTGGGGGAAGAAGGAAGAAAGACTTGTGCTTCTAGACACCTGTTGGCATAATGTTAGATTCAACCCAAGGATTAGAAACTTGGACTTTTTTTTTAATGAAAGTTTAGATTCTCAGGAAACTATCCTATACTCCATGACATTATTTTCCACCCCCACCTCACTGCTGAGCAATTGTACCATGTTAGTTATAATTGCAATGGTAAAACCATATTCTATTGAAACTAGTCTAAGAGTATACACGCTTTATTTTTAAAAGTATAAAATCTAAAGATTAGCATCACGTAGAGCATACATTTGTATGCAAAACAAAGTATTACTTTGATGCAGTCCAGCCAAAGTTTAAACACCCTGAAACCCCACTGATTTCAATGTTCAGTTCTTCCATTCATAGTTACAAACATTCAAAGAGCTTGACTTTGATTGGACTGAGCCATAGCAATACTTTATCTTGTGTGTTTATGCTACATTCCAGCTGTTACGATAAAGCAAAGCTTGTAAAAAATTTGTAAGAAACTACAAATTCTATTTTTTTATAAAATGATATAACTGAAAAAGAGTGGGCTTGTAAGTAAATAGGATTATCAGTTTTAAATCACACGATACACATTTGAGTAAAACTAGGAACAGAATATAAATAAGAAATCTTGAGCTATTTACACTAGGACAGAAACTATAGTGAAGTTGCTGCTATATAAAAAGAACTAGTGTCTCAGAAGTATTACCCATTGTGCATACATTTGCTTTAACACTAATGATTTTGAGTGCATTCATACACATGAAAGAAAGTTGTGTAAAGTCACTTGGAAGTAGGACAAGTCCGCATCACAGGAAGCCCTACTGGTAGAAAATACAAATGTAAAAAATATTAGTTCAGGGAACACTTATCTCCCTTTATCTTCAGAATTTAGTTCCTGGCTTCTTGCTCTTAGGAACAAGAAAGATGCTGCCATCTCTTGTTTGCTGCAGTGAGTAGTCATTGTACGAATAAGGCTTGCCGTCTTCATCCCGGAGCATGCTGAAGACTTCAAGGTACAGGGTGCTCAACTGTTTTTTCAGCACACGGAGGCTTTTATCATTCTCCGCTTTCTCTTTAAGGAGCTTCTCTCGCTCGTCTTTAAGATAGCCCAAATCGTGTTCCAATTCTGTTATGTTTTCCAGTTTTCGTTTCCGGCAATTTTGCGCAGCCACTTTGTTCTTGCCTCGTCTTCGTATGTCACGAATGAGAGTAAGCTGGGCCTCGCTGAACTGCTCCTTAGACATCATTTCATTGAAGTCATCCACAGGGAGGTTAATGATCTTATCGACAGGGAAAGGGATGTGCAGAGCTTTTGCTCTAAGCTCATCTCTAGTGAAATGAGCTTCAAGTTGATTGTAGGATTTATCTTTCATAAATGGAGCTTCTGCATGGCCGGGGTTGGCAGGCACTTCTTTTTTGGGTGCACTTGGTAGCTTTGGAGTGGAGCATGGGGTATTCTGAGCTAGGGATGGAGAGAGTGGATCATGCATCTGAAATGAATGCATCTGACCACTGCTGTGTTGCACACTTCCAGGAGCACTATCCACCTCTTCCATTTCGGAATCACTATATCCAAAGCCTGTATCCCTGTAGAGAGAATGCACTGGAGATGTAATGCTGGGACTTGTATTCAGTGAGATGCCGGAGTCCGAATCATTGCATTCTGGGCCATTCCTTGCAAGGTCGTGGTTAAAGGCTTTGCACTGAGCAAACTCAGAGAGATCAATTGGGTCATTTAAAAAGCCAGCAAGTGCCTGATCCACATAATTTGGTGGTGGAGTAGATGCGCTGCTGCTCATTTTCACATCAATAAAGGTGCAGTAGAAATCCTCGCAAAAATCAGTGCTTGTGGGTGATGAGTTATTTTGGCTAGGATCTTCCGGCAGTAAAATGCTGGAGCAGGAAGGCTCCAAAGGGTCCAGAAACACTGCACTGCTATTACCAATTTCTTTCTCCATAGCAGGTAATGAATTGTAGAAAACAAAATTAATGGGTGCTTCCGCTGCTGTGTTTGCTGAGCATGTGTTTGTGGTTACTTCAGCCAGGTTGTCATTTTGAATGTTAAGACACTGTAAAAGAAATAATTACAAAGGGGTTCAGCAATAATGTACACATTGTGAGTTACAGAGTGGAAAGCGGCACTGTAGCTGCTGCAACAACTCCCATTCCCACCTCCCTGGCACTGTGGTGCAGCCACGGACAGCCCAGAGGTTCACATTTAGCCAGCAAATATTCTATATTTGTCCTTTTCTGTGGTGCCAAGCTATTAAGGATATCATTTGAAATGTGAGCTTTTTTGGCCATCCACGAGCAGGCTCCTGGTCCTCTCACAGTTGTACACCTTTGCAAAGGTATGCAGTACAAATTTTACACCAATCTCCTCCCTGATCCATGCACCTCCAGTGCTTTGAAGACAGTACTGAAGTCTGGCACTGTGCATGTTCTCAGAGTCTCAACTTTTCTTGGTGCCTCCCAGGCTTTTTTGCCCCTCCTGATTTTTAAACATTTTTACTGAAAGGCAGGCAGGTGGGAAAGCAAGGTGTTGTCTTCCAGCACCATTAATATTTGGACTGCAAAGTGTACTGTGTTTTCGGCAAAACTCTTAGTATCTCTGATTTACCTTCAGAGAAATTGTTATATGCCAACTACAAGACAGTCATTTGGTTAGCGTCTCTGTGACATCCTTGAAGTTCCAGATGTGCCTACCATCTGGAATTGCTAATATCTGTGCAGCCCAAGCAGGAAGGAAGGGTAGTAGTGAAAAGCATGCAGGCAACTATTTCCCCCAACCTTCTTAATTGCAATGAAGAGGATGTGAATAATTAGGGTGGGAGGGAATTATGTGGGGCCTCTTTGGTGATGAGACTCTGACTACTAATAAGGATGCCTGAAACTTGGGAAGCATTCATGGCAGCTGCCTGTATTTTTTAGTCACCTTCATTTTAATAAACAAGTTGCCTAAATCACCAAATTTTGCAGTGCAGTTAAATTCAGGCATTTGAGCCTTTTCAAAGCTGAATGCAGTTCATGACAATTTTAGTACAACAGAAACATCTGCCTAGGCCTTTGGTGGAATTGAATGCACTAAGACAATGTGTATGAGCCCTGCAAAGGAAGTTGTTGGCAATCCAGATGTCTTTCCTCAAGGAAGCATTTCTGTTTGAGGAATTTGCATTTTGTCTGCATTTAAGATGAAGTATTTTCCCCCTGGAAAAACTGCTTTTCCTAGCTACAGTGCTCCTTGCTAGTAGAAGCCCGTGGAAGATTATTGTTCCTATCGAATGCACACTTAAGGCACCGCCTGCTGGTGAACAGCAACACTCCAACTTTGGTGCCATTTGAATTTTTCTTTAAAATTTATTTTCAGCCTTTAAAAAACTAATGTCCTTGGTATCCTGCAGTTCCTGCAGCTTTGGCATACTCAAGTGTATACTGGCTTTTTTGTGGCTGCTTTTAAAAAAAGCAGCAAGCATGCTCTTCCCTAGGCATTCCCCAACATTTCATGATCTGAGGAAAATGAATGAAGGGCAGAGGAAAGTTTCCAGAAGGAGCTCAGCTCTGCTTATCAAAAGATCCACGGAAGTGACAGCACAGCAGCTATATTTTGGCAGAAGTGCCATCCATTACACTGGGACTGACTCTTGTAAGTTCTCTCTGATGTACAGAATGGGGTTAAAACACAATGAAATTCAGAGTCATGTGATGGAAGTGATCTCTGCCTCCTCCAGAGAAGACCCTCCAGCCCCTTGAAATGCTATGCAGAAGGCCAGCTGACAGTGCAGAATAAGGTCTAGGGAATCCCTGAAAATTGGGCAGAGACATTTGCCATGAGCAAAGCCATTCATCCACAGAAAGCAGATCTGGAACCTGCTCCAGGGCTCTGGTCCTATACATGCACATAGTTGTCTGGAACTAAGCCCCACGGATTCCAGTGGGCCTGTCTGAGAAAACAGTCTTCCTGGATTTCTGTTCAGCCCCTCAGAAATGTATTTACCACTGAGAGTACACGTTTTGGCAAAATAAGTGACTCCTCTTACCTGATTTGCTTATACATAAGAAAAAACAAATTAGCAGTGCTATCATACAGAAGAGTTCAGAACCAACTTCTGGGCTGGAAGTTGTGGGCCTTTTCCTGTCTAACTAGGCATCGGATCATGCCACTGTAGTTTGCCCTGAGTGTTTGCGTGCGAAGCACCCTTGTTTGGAAGCAAGTCCTACCAACCAAAGTGGAATTTGCTTCTAAATGGAACATTCATCAGACCTGGCTGAAAGACAGAACACTACACTGAACAAACATTTCTCTCCGTGTTGTATTATTGATCAGTGATCTCATAGCTGTTTGCAAATTTTCATCCTCTTGCTTCACTCTTGTAAAATCAAGTATAACTTTTCGAAACACTACCGTTGAGAAAGGAGGAGGGTCGTCTCTTGGGAATATAGAAATGTCAAATTCTGGATTGTTCCCCTACAAACACACGAAGGGGTTTTTTTAAAAACAGTTGTCCAAAAATACATTCCAGCCCTGACTGCAAACACTACCTGTAGTTCTGGAATAGACAGCAGTTCTTCCCACACTTGTTCTATGTCTTGTGTACTCTCAGCATCAGCAGCTGTTAACTCTGGAAGGGTAGCCTGAAGGATGCACGGATCAAGGGGCTGCATCTGAGTAGAATCAACAAAGACTTGATTGGTTTCTGAAGGTGCTGCTTGCTGGAATTCAACAGAGGAGGCCTGCAATATAAGGAAAATCTCTTGTCAGCGATGCATGAAACCTGCTGGTTCTTACATCATGGCTAGCTTGGAAAGAAGTGCTTCCAAAACAGTCAATGCATGCAAAGGAGGCCTCGAGTACGAAGAAAGTTACTGTGGGCAATATCCTGGTGTTGCCAGCCCAACAGCAGCACTGAGCATGCCCAAGCTACTGCTTCTGAAATGGAGCAAATCCATCAAGCAGAAACTCCTCTGAGCGAGCCTATTCCAGAAACAGACTATTTCTTGTTGCACAAATGTTATTTCTTGTTGCACTACTCTGGTTGTTCCCACTAGTGCAACAGGTTGGCTAGTGCCCCATAAAAAAGACAATGGGGGTTTATTTTATAAGGCCCAGAGGGGCCTTAAAGCCATTAGATTTGCAATGCAGCCACTACTTGCCTCAGTATCATCTACAAATGAGAATGTTTCTGCCAGAATCTGCATACAGTCCTCAAACAGGTCATCTGCATCTTGCTTGGGAATGTGTACACTCTGTAAATGAGAGAGAAAAGTTCAGCAACTCTTTCCAGGAGTTAGAAAGGCTGCTAATTCAGATAACCAGAAATTATACCATCCTAATTTTCACCAATTTTAGAAAGATGTAGTTCACTGTGAACAAAAGTTTGTCTGTGTTTTTAGAATTTTTACCTGTGAATAATTAGAAGATATTCTAGTATTTTCTGATTCAATGGTCTGAGCAGGCCGGACTGGAACAAATTCACCTGTTTCTTCATCCAGCTGCAACTGAGCTAGAAAATTTTTTTCTTTCTCTTTCTGAAGTTGTTCTTGCCTCTCTCTTTCAAGTTTTTTCTGTTTCTCAAGCTCATAATCCTTCTTTCTTTGGCAAAAATCAAACACTTCACGGCTTGCCCCGAGATCGATATCCTGTCTCCAAAGAATGTCAATCAAGTTCATATCCTATGTGGGGGACAAAAAAAAAAAAAAAAATAAGACTATTTTCTAAATTCAAACATCACTTAAAACAGCTGCCAGCTTATCTAACCTGAGTCACATGTCTCCTGGCCAGTGACATTGTAAGATTCGCTGTTAAAATCAACATGCAGCTCTGGATGTGCTCTGTACCCTGCTGGTATGAAATTAATTTATTGACCTCAAAAATGTTACAACATGATACCGAGCAGCTAGTGATTAAGGAAAGCTTACTAGGGTTGCAGGTTCTGTGCACACTAATTGGTGAGTAATCCCATTGACATAGATAGGATTTTGCATGGCCATAATCCTAAACACATCTGCTAAAGAGAGTTACATTACACTTAATGCTTATGAGCAAGCATGAATAGGATCAGGTTGCTGAAGTTGTAAATATATATTATAGATTCCAAGCACTATACCAGCACTGCACCAATTAACACTAATACAGTTTTTTAAATGTGGTAATACAATTCTGTTAGAGACTCAGAACACTTTTAGTGAAGTATAAACATATTAGTAAATGTCACACACTTTTCTAACTCAGTTTAAGTTACAGCCATTAAGTTAGAATTATGGAGCAGCTAACTTTGGGATCTGATATTGTTAGTCAAAGTTTAAATAAATAAATTTCTGAAAAGTATTCACAGATTACCTCAGGACTGGCTGATAACTAATTTTAACTTGAAAACTTGTTTACTGTTCTGTGACACTTTGCTCAGTTCTAAATGAGAGTAAACACCATCATATGACCTAAAGTAGATCCACTGAACACTTTAGTTGTAGCTAGCAAGTACATTTCAAGTATTGGGTATAATCAAGAATTTGATTGGATTTTATTCATCAGACTGGATTTTTATTTTTCTCTAACCAATGAAACTGCTTCCGCTTTTCACTTCTTAGAGAACACTTTGTAAGTTTGTTGTAAAATTGAACAAGAGCAGCTTTTCCAAACTTTGGATAAATTGCCCTGTCATAAAAGTGAGCTACAACGTTATCTTTCCTTGCCTAGAATCAAAGGGGCATAGAAGTATAACAAGCCACTTTTTTTATAAAGAGCAAGTTGTTGTTGTTGTTATAACATTTCATTCAACCCAAAGGCCATGCTTTTGACATGTGGCAACTAAACTCACCTGGTGGTACAATCTGTATGCTTGGAATTAACAATAATTTCCCACTCTTAACTGGATTTGGTAACTCCACCAAACATAGTTGTTGCTTCTTGTCTCAGAATTTAAACTAATACATTAATTCTAGTGTTGTAGTACAAAACTATATGCAGTGACCCAAAGCATACCATCTACTTTTTAAAAGGATTTGAGCTACAATCCTGTACACCCTTACCTAGAAGTAAGTGCCACTGACAACAGTGGTACTTACTTCTGAGTAGACACATATAGGCTCGAATTGTTGATTTGCTATCAAGTATTAAATTGAATGACCCAAACTGGCAAGTCACCTATTGATGCCGACAATCCTAGATTAATTTTGTGCATGTATCAAAACAAGTAACTATTTGCATTTCTCTGATATTCACAAGTAAATGGTGACAAGAGGCAGGCACGGATCAGAAGAACACTGGTTTCCTCAGACATACATGCAGCATGCAGGTAGCCTCAGAAGGGCCTACTAAGACAGGATGCTTTTCTAATCCATTAGTCAGGCAGGCAGTTTGTAAGAGGCCTAATGAAATCATAATGAAAAACTGGGTTCGGTGGATTAAGACATGGGATGGGGAGGGGAGCTCAGAGCAGACATACATGAGCATGCCTACACGAGACCGACAACGTGAGCTTCTTGACTGGATCGAGATGTCCACCTTAACAGTTTAGAACTCTGCTTGTCAGTTTCAGTGCCAAAGTATGGCGGAGCTTCAGCTCTTCTAGTCCTGACAATGGTAAAAATCCTATTCAGATGGCTTCTGGCATTCAACAGAAGCATTTTACTTCCTTGATGTACACAAGATACATCGTTCACCCAATATCTTTCATTCAGGAGTGCCAACATCCTGCTTTTCTGGCTTGCCCATAAGCCTCTCGGTACTTCCAGGTGGATTCCGTTGGGACAAGAATGCCAGCCTAGACAACCAAAGAGCTGTTTTTTGCATGTACCTTGTTCATATTTATTTATTTCTAATTAAAGTATATTTAAACCCTCTTGAACAAGCTGCTGAATTTCAATGTAACAGGCAGCAAAGAAGGAGCTGAAACTGTTATGATGACTGCCCACAATAAGGGCTTGGTCCCTCCAGATTCATATGGTGAAATGAACTAATTAAGTCTGGCAGTAATTGAAGATACTGCAATACAGCAGGGCTTCATTAAGGGCCAGTAGTTTACCAGCTGCTCACCCTCTTCAGCTGATTGGAAATGGCTTCTTTTGTCTCTGAGCATTTTGCAACATGTTCTGGCTAAAGCGGCAGGATCTGGATTTTAGATTCCATCCCTCAATTACTCATTTTCAGGGTGCCATTACAACAGGCTTTGCTACTACATCTACCCAAGCGAGATTCCACACTTGAGTGTCTCGTCTTCATCCTCAGTGTGCTGGACCACTGAGCTTCAGTTCTGAACCACAATCCAAATTAACAGTCACAAAAAAAATGAAAGAATGTCAATCAAGAAGTAGCAGGGTTTAACAGGCATACCTACTGTGGCAGAAAATTATAAGCACCACATGGTTGGCACAAATATTATTCAGCCTGTCCAGTGTGGTGAAAGAAATAGCAAAGTCAAATATACAAAATGAGTTTTAAACCCTAAAGTCTCAATATCATGACCTAACAACTTTTTATGATTGACTGGAAGGTATATATGATAGCCTGCAGACCTGCAGACCATTTCATGGGGGGGTGGGGGGAAATGCTTCTTTCCCTTTGAAAAGTGGTTAATAAGTCAAATTCCAAGTAGATTTTCTACAAATATGAATTCCTTAGGAATTTTAAAACATTAACATTTGTTTCAGTTGCAAGTCCATATTAATGTCAAAGCGAAGACTGAACGTGTTGATAATAAATAGTACAAAACACATGCCACATGTCTCTCTTTTCAGGAAACCACTTACAATGTCCTTGAGAACAATTTACTGCTAATAAATGTGTAATGGCTTATTTATCATGTGACTTGTTCCAAAGAAGTCTTTTGTTCTCTTTTTCATTTCGCAAGTTCCCACATTATGTCAGAGGAAATAGCTGTATGGACAGATACAAGGAAGGGGAATGCCCAAGGAAAAGCTGTACAGAAACTGCAGAATGTGAGCAATTTGACCAAGAGAGTTTTTCACTGACATACGGTTCTCATAATTCAGGAACAGGCCCCATGCCGGACTCGCAACTGCCCAACCAACACTAGAAGTAAAAGTGTAAGTTAACTCAGGGTGCAACCCTGTTGCCCCCATCCTAGACAACCACCAAGCTTGCAGACTTACATCTTAATAAGAGGCCATCCTGGCTGTCTAAAGCAAGCTCTGGGAAGAGGGAGGAAAGGCAGCTGGGACAAAAGTAGGCCTCAAAATTGTAGGCCTGCTTTCTGCTCCCTCACACACTCCCTTCCCTCCCTGAGGCACACTTCCAGCCCTGTGAGGGGGAGGAGCGGGACTTGTCACCGAGATTGGAGGGCTCCGTGCTGGGCTCCAAAGGCCCTGTGAATGGTGGTTCTGGGAGGCCATGGGGTTCTGTCCTACCCTCATAATGTGTCATGTCTTAACTGCAGCCTCAGAAATGCTTAATTCTAATTTCTAATGTTTTCATCTTGCCCTTCTTCCAAGGAGTTGAGGGTGGTCCACATGTTGTATTTGCAGCAACCCTGTGAGGTATGCTTGGCCATAGAAAAATGACTAGCCAAGATATTTCGGTGAGTTTCATGACCAAGCTGGGATGTGAAGCAAAACCTTTTCCAAATTGTAGTCCAATATACTAACCATGATAACACTGGTGCTCCTTAATAATGTGTGCAGTCAGGGATGACATCAAGGTGTAGGTATGGCTGAACACCTACCAAAAATCCACAGCCCCCCACATCATCAGGGACTTCCTCCTCCACTTCACCAGTGCAACCTGCTTCTTCTCCATTCTCCTACTCTGATCCAGACAGGGTGATAGTGAGAAGAAAGGGCAGCAGATGCCACCACCTACTTGCCCCCTGGCTTTCCCTGCCTGTCCAGTAAGCACATGGTAGCCACAATGAGGAAGAGGATGAAGAACAAGAGTAGCTCATGGCCATGGTGGTAAGGAAGTAAAGCCAATCATGGAGTTGTCCCACTGAGGATGCCTTGCCCAGGGAACCTCCAAAACCTGGAGTGTTCTTAGATGCTTGCCTTCAAAAGCATATATATCAATGTGTCTAGGACAACTTTCACTAAGCCCCATCCGATATGGTAGAAAACACCAGTATTTACAAAGGCAAGAAGACCTAATTTGTCTTAGGTTTCAGCCCCAGAATCTGTTCTCAGCAACAGAGCTGTGTCCCAGAATTTGTGCAACAGCAACAAAAGGCTGGCTCCAAACTTGCGCTTCCATGGAAAGACAGGACCCATATCAGCAAAGGGTGCCTACTGGGAAATGGAGGAGCCAATTATCCAGGCAGCCCCCCTCATGCCACCTGCTGTAATATTTTAGATTGTCCCACTCCTATGCCGCAGTTAGAAGGGGAAAGGGTGCTGCAGAGGAGAGAAGGAGTGTGCAAAAGTAGTCTCCCCTTCTTCTGATACTGTGATTATCACATTAGTGGAACACTGCTCAGAGTAAATTCAGATCCAATGCAAAGAAAATCCCCCATGGCCCATAATGCGAACCCCCAGGGGATGGGCTGGATCATGCAGAGCCAGCTGTACTAACAAACCATGGATTCTTGCTCATGGACAACTTTCTGAGTTTGTGGTTGGGTTGTAAATTCTCTGTTGTTACATCAGAACCCAGAACCATGCATTCTCTCACCAGATTACAGTGCTGGAAGATGAGTGGTCTAAAATTTGGGCCACTCTTCATGTCA